TCCGGGTCCATGATTCTTTTTCAGATTCAGTTATCCAGTTCAATTAAAAAATCAACTGCTGTATTTTTCCTGGTCTTCAAAGGCTAGACATACTTGCCTCTAAAACAATATCTAAACCTATTCTCTTCTAGCTTTTCTCAGTGGATGCAAACAATGTTGCTGTTGTTACCAAGTGAATCCCCTCCCTGACTTGCTAGCTGCAGAAGAGCTGGTAAGCTCTTTATAAAAGTACATATATTCTTTAGACCCACATCTGTACCCAAGACTCAGTTTTCCATACCCATCCTTCATTTGTAAAAGGCTTTTATCATTCATTACATTAGTTGAGAAGATGGAGTTTACCCTTTATCATCCAGTACTAAATTGTTTTTCTGAACTAGTGTTGTTATCAAGCTATCACTTAGATAGGAAACCACTGACAGCTTTGAAAGAACACAATGACATTAAAATAAGGCTTTATGCACAAAATGTTCGATTTGAACTTGCATGTTCATTGCGTATTTTTTGTTTGAGAAACTGAAACCAAGAAAAACAACTATGAAAATTAAAATTAACTTGCTCTGCGTATCTGGGTTATGTTCAGCCAAATGTTGATATCATCTTGGATAAAAATGTAAATATGACAGAGTTTTTCAGTCAATAAGTCTTGATAAAAGCTTGGAAATGTTACCAACTAAAAACAGTTTTTAATGTTAAGCAAGGATCAACAAACTTTTTCTACAAAGGACCAGTCAGTAAATATTTTCGAGTTTTGTGGGACACAAAATAACCTTTTAAAAATATAAAAGCCATTCTTAGCCTGTGGACTGTAAAGAAAAACAAAACAAAACAAAAAAAACAGGCTGCAAGCCACATTGGGCCCACAGGCTATAGTGCCCTAACCCTGATTTTAAAGAAAATGAACCCAAGAAAATATGAAGTGTTACAGAATGAAGTGTCCCAAACCGTTCTAATGAGACTTAGCTGCAATAATTACCAACATGCATCTATTAAAATGATTTCATTAGTTATTTTGCACGTGGAAGGAATTTTAATGGCAGGATGCACTTTGATCTCTTAACCTGAAATTACAGACATGGAAAGAAAGGGCAAAGGCCAGCTATGTGCTGAGTTAACCCAGTATGAACTCTTATAGGACTCTGAGCTACTGTATGAACAGCGACTATTTCCCTACACAGATGTGGCTCATCAAAGTGGAAACATCTGAACTTTCCTCAGACAAAGACCTATGTGCAAAATTGAATTCCTCCCTAGAAAAGATGGTGACTTGAATTTGTGGAGACGGTCACACTGATCAGAAATAGCAGCAGCTCATTGTGAAAAGTGAGACCAAAGGCTCTGCTACAACCAGCTGTGTAATTTGGAGGGTGTCAATTAAACCCTCATTTTCTCATTTAACAAATTGAAACAGAGGCATAAAGTAGACAATTTCTAAGACTCTTTCTGATGTCAAACTTGACTATACGAAATAGTGAAACCACTCAGGAAATACCTAACAGGAAGAAGGGGGCAGGGCAGGGGACAGAGGCAAAGGGAAGAAGCTTAGACTGTCTTCTTGGAGGGCAAAAATGGGTTTTCTCTTTTTGTTCAGTACAGGGCTGAACAAAATGTTTCAAAATGTTGGTATACACTCAAATCAATATTAAAATGCATCCACATTCCATAGGAAATATAACACATAGCTAATTTCATTACCATTCCTACTCATCTTAATGTTAAATTTTATAGGCATTTAATTAAAAGTTAATTGTGATTATGTAAGGGAGGCTTGGGGAGCCAATCAAAATATTTTCCAGCTTTCAAACATTTGAACTGAAAGGCTAGTTGGTCCTAGGTGCCGGCCTATAGTTTCAAAAATGGATAAAAAACATTGCAACAAATATTTTCTGACTGACACACTGGAAGATCCCCCAATAAGTCAGATAAAAGAAAATCTACTTTTCACCACCTGGAAGAGAAGAAAGGAAATGAGGGGACCTGGAATGCCAAGACCTTAGAGAAGTGAGAAGAAAGCATCTGTGAGACAACTGTATCTGGAATCAAATGACTAATTGTCTCCTTCCTTTCAGGATGACAGAGTGCCTATCCAAACAGTTTCTGAACATGGCATGCTCCCACTTAAAAAAAAACTTCTTAAAGTTTGAAAAGACTTAAAAATGCATCTCCATGGTAAGAAACAGGCCTGTATACCTATCTACCAACAGACATACACAAACCCTAGGCATTGAGCAATGGATCTTTCCTGTGACATATCGCTTATCAAGTTTTGTCAGCAATGCTATGGGAGACCTTGTCAAAGCCCCCTCACAGAAAAGCCCAGGCATTTATACATGTAGGTACTTCAAGAAACAAGTATGACTGGGGAGGTGATGGGCCACCAAATGTCACCTCAATTTCCAATCATCTGGGGATGGGGTGAAGGATACTGCTACTGGAGATGGAATCGTGTTTGTAGTCAGTGAAAAGTGACTAGAATAGTGCAAAATTCACCTTATTTTTCCGGCTTAATTTCAACTGCAAAGCACTAGCTTTCAGGTATATAAATTCTACTGCTGGTTGAAGGCGGTGTGCTATCTCGTCCAGTAGGAGCTCTGGGGCCACATAAGCGGCATGGGATTTCCCCTCCTCCAACTGAAGACACAGCTCACAGTCTCTTTTCACCACATCCATCACACAGAAAGTATTAAGACCAACTTACTGTCTACCTCACACCTTAAGAAGTGCAACTCTCCATTCAATCATAAAAGCTCATTTCAATTATTAAAAAAAAAAAAAGCTACTCAAGAAAGATTCTAGGATTTGGGGGTACTGGGGATTGAGCCCAGGTCCTCATGCATGTTAAACATATACTATACCTCTGAGCTACACCCCTAGCTCAGAAAAGTAATTTTTTAAAAGCTACTATTTTAAAAAGGTTACAAATACCCTTACAGAAAATGTGGGGCAAAAATTAAGGGGAAAAAGAGCAAATTAACAAAACTTATTACAAGCAAGCAAAAGTCATCCAAGGAACTTGGCATTTCCTCACTTTCAAGGCAGAGGGATACGTTTGGGAGGGTCACACATAGGGCGAACAAAGACCACCACTCAACTTGCTGTAGAAACCATCTTTTACCATCTGTACTGCAGTTTGCATACAGTAATGAAAAAGAGTTACTTGGGGTTTTAAAATTAGTATCACTATCCAAAATTAACACCCATTAGTTGCTGTACCAGCTCCCAACATATCTTTTAGGAATACACTCCAGAGCTGACATTTAAAATCTACTTCCTCAGAAAAGAAAAAGTCTCATTCGAGACTGACTACCATGAATTTGCAACTCCAACTTTCCTAAGCCCAGATATCATAACACCCAGGAGGTTCTAGGTCATTCAGTGTGTATCAAAGAGGTCAGAAAAACAATGAGAACTTTTCCCAATCCTTGGGTTAAAAAAGTGCTCTATACCCAAATATTCATTTTATTAAAAGATAAATTATCCTTACAACAGAAATATGTAAACACACTTATCACCAAAGCACTGGCTCCTTATTACTTCCCAAACAAGAAATTCATGGTGAAATATACTGTAAAAGTTTTTTGGAAGTGTCTAAATAAGCTAATACTGGAATCCAGAAACATCACCCAGACAACCAAAAGCTAAGTTTCTTCAGGTAACTTAATTAACTGCAGCTATTCAATAAGAGAAATGATGCTAAGATCACTTCTACTGGCAACCTAAAACCAGTTTTGATGTGCTCTTTAGCTGATAGTAAGTTAAGATCTCTGTTTACCAGAACACAACATCTTTCACTACAAAAGTAGGAAGGACAGCTTCCAACCAAGATGAGAAAAAAACTGAATCAACTGGAAGTAATTGGGGGGGGGCGGTGTATAACACATGTTGTGATTCACTGAACAAGTAATTAGAACTAAAGCAAAATATACAGGGAAACAGGCAGGATTTAGGGTCAATTTCTTAGCTTGGAAGTTATTAAACATGCAAGCCCAAGAATTTAAAAAGTTGAGAAGTGTCACTTTTTAGGTGATGATAGTAAAGGGTGAACATTTTCCCAAACACATCATTTCCAAAAGTCACCAATTCCCTTAATAGTCATTAACACTCAGAACAATTTAACGCTCCACACACGTTATTTCATCATTTGTCATTTTTTGCTTTCTCTTGCACTGGATCCAAAAGAAGTACAGAGAAAAATAGTAACCAGTGCTCCTAGTTACTGGGAAAGTCCTGCACCCCAGCACTTTCCATTTCTCTCCATTTTCTATCTGAGTCTTTTCTGCTCAACCTCTCTTTACTATCTGTGCTGCTCTCCCTTTTCCTCTCCATCTCACACCCAGCACTCCTTTACTTTCTCCACCAAGTAGCCTCACGCCTCCCTCTGGTCCCCTGAGCCCTTCTCCCACCTGCAATTTTCCTCTGCCCTCTCTCATGGCCATCTCTGTCCAGACCCTCCATAGCCAGTGTCCCCTCATCCCTCACCTGCTGATCATTCATGTATTCCCTTTAATTCCCTTCCGATCGCCTAGTCTCACTTCTCCTGTCCCTTGTGTCCTCTGTTCCTTTACTTCATGTCCCTCTCATTCCTCAACCTTTCATTTCCCTCTTCACATTTCCTTCCTCTTTCCTGTCCTTTTAATCCGTTTTCACGTATATTCACTATCCCCTTCTCTCTGTCCATGAGATTTCCTGTGCACCCCCTCCCCCCCAGTCTGTCCCTCTGGGACCCCCTCCCTGTCAGCCCCTGAACCCACTCCTCTCTCCAGCCCCCTAGTCCTTGTAACTCGGGTCCCCCCATGCTTTGCCCCAGTCGCCCCTCCACCACCAGCATCCCGTCCCCGCCCGCCCCTCTCCCTCTCCCTCACGCCTTCGCCCTCTCCCACCGCCCTCGCCTCCCTCGGTCCGGGAGGTTTCGACTCCCCGGCTCCCAAGCCCTCGCTTGCCCTCTCCCAGGCCCCCCACTACCCACCCCCCCCCGTCCCGGGCCGCGGTCCCTCTCTCACCGATGGTGGAGATGAAGGTGGTATTGAAGGCGTCCTCAGAGAAGCGGAACAGGAGGCAGGTCTTGCCTACGCCCGAGTCGCCGATCAGCAACAGCTTGAACAGATAATCGTACGTCTTCGCCATCTTCTCGCTCCGGCCCTCTGACCGACGAGCGAGAGGAGGCGGCGGAGAGAGGCGCGGAGGGGGCCGCGGGCGAGGGGGCGTGCCCGCCGAGCCGCCCCGCGCCCCGCCCCGCCCCTCGGAGGAGGCCTGCGCGCCCCGCCCACGCTGCCAATCCGCTGGGGCTTCGTCATCAGCGCCCGCGTCCCCGGGGCTTCATGGGACTTGTAGTTCCGTCGTGGGGAGCCTCGGGCGTGCCTCGGACTGTCCTGGTGTCTTCAGCTGATGAAGGCTCTGCTCGGAGTAGTGTGACCCGGTGGACTAGGCGTTTCCACCCCACCCGGGAAGGGCGGCGTGGTTTCGAACTCCGCTCTCTGCGCGGCCGAACTTAAGTTCGTTGTGTCTTTGTTTACCGGCGCCTTTCAGATCCAGGACCTTGGAGCCTGAGTCCCGCCGTTACCGCATCTTTTCCGTTGGGACCCGAGCGGGGATGCTTTTTTAGTTAGAGCTGCTGTGGCGCAGCCTGCGGTTTATCTGCCGAGTGCTACTCGGCCTCGCCTCAGTTCCTGCTCCGCACCTCCCCAGCCTTTGCCCCAGCCCCTCCATCACAGCTGGAAAAGAATGACTACCATGCTGCCTCGAACCCCGCCTGCCCCCTTCCCGCCACACAGTCCACAGCCAAATACGAGTATTTTAGAGGAAAGGGGAAAAAAAAATCTGGGAAGGCTTGTGCCCTATAAAATGCAGGCATCACCGGGAACGGAAATTTTGGCTGTGGAAATTTAGAAAATAAGATTTGGGTTTTAGGCTTGTCTTGGCCACTTTGCACTGCAATAAGTCCACGGGCCCAGCAAGCCTTGGTTTTCTCTTCTGTACAATGGATATGAAACGAGCTACTTAATACAGTTGCAGTGAAAATTAAATACTGAACCCTAAATGACACTGTGTTTGCATTCACCGGGCTCGCAGTAGACTCTCAGAAGCAGCATTCTGTTATATTCAAGGTAATCCTTTTGTATTTAAAGCCTTAATCGAACTCTTTGTTTTGTGGATGTATTGCTCAGTCTCTTGTCTTTACTAGTACCAGAAGCTCAACCAGATCACACTCCTGTGAGAGAGGGGTTTACTGGTTCAGGTAATGTGAAAGGAGTAGGTGAGGGGACCAGGGATTCTGTCCTGTCACAGCTCTCTGTGTCTCCTCTCTTCTCCCTTTTCAATTTTAACTTCTAATATGTCAAATACCAACAGCTAAAACCCTCACAAATGAAAAACCAAATGAACAAAAGCTCTTTGGAATCCTCTTGGATTCCAAAATTAATTCCTTTTGGAATAATCTTTAAGTAGATAAAGGGGTCCTGAGACCAAAATATTTGAGAACCACCAGCACAGATATTTACATTAAATATAAGGAAACACCTTCTGGAAGATAGAGGTTATTAAGGGAACCAAGGGACTTAACCATTAGTGCAATAAGAAAAAAAAATTGGACATTTAACAAGTCAGCAGCTTTAAGACACATCGTGGGTTCCTTGTGGTTTCATGCACAATGTCAAAGATGACATTTTTTGTACTACTGCTGTAGAAGACTTAGTTGGCGCTAGTATGGCTTTCCCCCTCTACCTGGATAGAAGATGAAATGTGCATCACTAACTCACACTTACTGATCATACAGTTCCCAGCAGCTGGTGCTGCTGCTAATGGAATAATTTCTAGAGCCCACTTGATGAGAACAAAGCTTTAATGAGGTCAAAGTCATACTAATGAGGAGGGATTCTGCCCTTTGCACAGGCTGAGTCTCTTGGACCAAGCAAATTCTTATGCAAACCTCCGAACTTGGCTTTCCTTGGAGCCTGAACAAGTGTGGAAAGCTCAGTTCTGTTCCTTCATACTCACTGCTGCGAAAGAAGGATAAAGTCTTCAAAGATCAGTGGAATCTCCCTTCCTTTTAAAGATGTGTATTTATTAAAATAACTTTTTCAGTTCCACCTTCTGCACTCAACTATTGTCATTCTCTTTCTGTATGAATAAGAACATGTTAGGTTAGGTAACAATGGCTCACATCAATAGTCTAGCTACTTAGGAGACAGAAATCAGGAGGATCACCTTTCAAGGTCCACTGAGGCACAAAATTAGCAGGAACCACCCCCCAACTCAACAAACTAGGTGTGGTGATCTATAGCTATAATCCCAACTATGTGAGAGATGTAGGTTGTAGGATCTCAGTCTGCCCCAAAAAAGTTTATGACCCTATCTGAGAAAGGGCTGGGGGTGTGTGGCCCAAGTGGTAGAATGCCTGCTTAGCAAACCTGAGTTCAAACCCCAGTACTGCCAAAAAAGAAAAGAGGAAAAAAAAAAAAAAAAAAAAAACCTGACTGATATGGTAAACAACTTAAGTTCAGAAGAGAAACTAGAGTTAGGAATTTTCAAAGTCCCTAAATTTTCTTAGGGGAATTTTGTTAATTGATGGGAATTAAAAAAAAAAAAACCAAAATAATTCTGTATTATTTTCACTTCCTCAGCTTTTCTCTTCTACCAAGTGTGTATCATATTGGGACTTTTTAGTTGGTTGTTTGTGTACCACTGTTGACCCATCAGGCATTTTGATACATTGACACTATTTCAAGAAGAACCACATTTTTTTTTCTTTACCACACTATTAATCTTCAGATTTCGTGCAACAGTATGTTAGAGATCAGATTGTTGGTGGCAGTAACTGGTACCATTGATTGGAGGCATTTTGCTGTAAGTATATTTGTAGATTCCTAGTTGCCATGATTCTCCAAGTAGTATTAGTCAATTCTTCTAAAATCCACTTCTGAGGAAACCCATCACGCTGAAAACTTGCCAGTTGCTCAAAATCCAACCTCAGTGGCTCAGAGCACAAGGCAGATTGGCACTTTGATGTGGAAAACCATTGTCAAAGCCTTTTGTATGGTGACTTCACACATCGCAACTTAAACTTGGCGTTTATACCCTGTTTGCGTTTTGTGAAGCCAACACTCTTTTCCCTTGATTTTAGGAAGCTCATCTTCCTCCCCAGGTGCCTGAGAGTCATGGTACCCATGCTTCCAGCCACAGAGGCAGGCATCAAAGCCAGGCTGGGTGGATCTGGATTCCAACTAGCCAGCTTTCTAATGAGGTAGGGTGATGGTGCTGAAAGGTTGTCTATCTGTCGGATGTGAAGACTGTGAGCTTCAGGCTGGTTTTGATCCAGCCAATTTTTTGTCCTCTCTTGTTCCTGCCCCTCTTTATGCTTACTTGGTCCTCAGGTTGGCTTTCCTCTGATAGCAAGCAAGACTGACATGTCACACAGTTCCAAGGGCATTATTTGCCTCTCACTGGAGTTACTCATTTTGGGTCTATTCCCCATTCCCCCAAGAATCTACAAACACATTTTTGAGGTTTTGCATAGTCTCTATGCAAATTTTCAGAATTTAAGAATTTTTTAAACTAGTTTAAATTGCTCCATGCCACTTGAGTGCAAGAAATCTCACCTTTCTTAATGGTTCGTCAAGGGCTGGCAAAGCTGGAGTCCGTCAACACTGGGACTTTTCCTTCCCTCATTGTATTGCACGAGAACCCAGCACTTAACCTGAGCCTGAGAAGTTAAGGGCAAAGCAGTCCTGACCCTTAGTTTGTGCCAGTCATATTGGTGCTTCTGCCCAACTACTCTTGAGTGATGGCCCTCTGCCATCTGTTGAGCACAGCTGTCTTGTGGGGGGGGCTACAAAGATTTCCTTCTTGGTGACTGTCCTTTCTAACTGATGACTCAGCTGCTGAATAAGTTCTCTATCATAGAACAGTGTGTATTCTTCTTTGTCTACTCCCTTACAACTTGAGCTCTTTCGCCTATAATCCCAGTTACTTGGGAGGCAGAGATCAAGAGATCACGGTTTGAGGCCAACCCTGGGGCAAAAAATTAGGAAGACCTCCCCCCCAAAAAAAAACCCAACTAGACTTAATGGTGCACTTCTGTAACCCCAACTACACCAGAGGCATAGGTAGGAACATCACAGACCAAGGCCAGTCCCAAGCAATAAATAAATAAGTTAATTAATTAATTAAAATAAGGGCTGGGGGCATGGCTCAAGTGGTAGAGACCCTGCCTAAAAAGTGTGAGATCATGAGTTCAAACCCCAGTACCTTGAAAACAAAAACAAAAAAGCAAAACAGACAAAAGAAAAAAAAAAAGAAAACGAGTTCTTTGAGGAAAGAAACCTTGCTAAATTCTCACCGCATACCTAGCAATATGCTTTATACATAGTAGGCACTCAATTAAGTTGTATGAATGAGTGAATATCAGATGCCATGTCAACAGTCTAGCAAATTTAGAAACATTTGAAACAATTTAGTTTATTATTTGCTATAAGACTGAGGTACTTTGGGCCTCACCAGCACCTTTCTATTTATACTCCAAATTGTATCTACATGTTATTCATTCTGTAAGCACACTATTCATTGTTGTATTTAAGAAATCAGTGTGAGCATATATTATTTTTCTAGTTTGTCAAGATCACATTGAACAATAAGTCCTTAAAAATGCCAATTTATTTTATCCCCCGTGTCATCTAAACACAGGCTATTTTTATAGTGATATTCTAGTGGCATAATTCTATAACTATCCTCATCAAAGAGGGACAAACCTTACTTCTACCCACTGATATTTCCTGAGCCATCACTGAGTGAATAATGTCCACTCAAACAAATATTCATTAAACTCACATTATGAAACCAGCTCAGCAAATTATCTGAAGGTATAAAGACATCTGTCATGTGATCACTGGCCTCAATTTGCTCCCAGCTAATTGAGGGGAGAACACATAGTGAAAAGTTCATTGATAAATGTGAGGAGATAGTCTGCTGATACACACTGCATTTAGTGTGGTGGGTCAAGTGCCCATTCTGACTGGTCGGCTTTTAATTCAAGTACTGAGGCACCTGTTCTAAATGGTTGAGAGTCCGTTTTGATTATTTGAGCATCCATTCTGATTGCTCAGGCTTCTACTCTGATTAGTCAAATACTCATGCCAAGCTGATTGTTACGTATTTTGGATATTGCCATTGGATGCAAAGATCAAGTAAATATGAGCTGACAATTTTGTAAAA